TTTCCCTTTCTGCTTTTCTACTCATTTCACATCCCTCTTTAGGTCATTAGAGTTTCGATTGATGTAGATGGCAGTAAACTTTCTGAATTGCATGTTTTCCTATTTTATATACTTTGAGAGAGCGCTGTCTTGCGAAAGTGGAATAAGGAACTGATGCCAGTAAAGAGTGGGTGGTAATGAGAGGAAACTAAATATTCAGTTGCTTAAGGCCTTTCTTTACCAAAAGGTCCACAGCCAGTGGGTCTCTTTTCTTAAGAGCTGTGCAGAGTGGCAGAATTAGCAACCTAGACTCTTCTTATAAAGATTGGACTGTCATACAATAGTTGTTGATTCTGCCAGTCATGTTACCATGTAATCTGTTACTTAAACTATGTAACTATAGTTTCATGATTGGATTGCCACACATTACTTAAAATGTGAACAAAATGATCTAACTGACAAAGAGTCAAAGTTTTTGAGTTTCGAAGTCTTTTATTGGGACCTCTCCAAATGTCCTTTTTCTGAATGCAAGCTTGGTCTAACCACCAAGTCATTGAGAAACAATTTTGTAAGAAAACTTGTCGGCTTGAAATTATTCCTCGATCCTAGGTTACAATCGTTTGGAAATACTTTCTCCACCCTTACCTCTCAAAAGCAATAAAGGTACCATTGTAGTGAACTATTTCCACAGCCTGCCGGAGATTCTCTGGCAATCTAAAAATGTTAATGCATTTTTAGAGTACACTCTGTATTTCATGAAGTAGAGATAGAATAAAACGATCCTCCAGGGGACTGTGGGTGACTGTACACACCTCTGCTATGTAGAGTAGACCTTCAAAGTATGCTTTAATTTAACAGATGCTTAAAGGAGCCTCAGCCATGATTTGGTCCCAGCTCTCTCACTTTATAGATAAGTTTCGTAGAGAGATTATGACTTACCCTGATTACATAAGTTATTTGTATAGCCAAGCATAAAACCCAGCTAACCATTATTTCATTATCTCTCTTAGCATTTAATTAAAATCCACATCTGTCCTCAGATGATTTTCAAGAAGTAATGAAAAGTATTTTTTTTCCCCCTGTGCTCACAGTGAAAATTGGAAGTCAGGGGAAAATACCCTAGTTTTATACCCTAATTTACACCGAATTATACTTTTCTAAATATACATATTTACAAACGATCTTAGCATGTACATTCTCCCATATACATTAGTATCCATATTCTCATGAAACTCATCTTTATGTTATTGAAGTTGTTTTCTTGAAATCTGGTCTATTAGAGCATACTTTTCCATATGAATTATTTCTTGTCAAGTTTTTTTTTTCTCTAATATCTTCCATATTTGGGGATTTTTTAAGTGTGGCCTACTTCTACCTTATTAAGATTTGCCTACTTCTGTGTTAAGCCAGCCAACCAAATATTTGTTGACAGTTCTCATTTCTTTAGTTCACAATATATGATTTCATTTAGAGAGAGAGATGATTTTTTTTGTATTCGTTGAGAAAAACACTCCTGAATTTTTTTTTATCTTCTTACTGGATTCCCTTATCAAGCTAAACAGAAGTAATTCAGTGACCTTGCCAAAATATTTTTTTGACCCATGGCCCCTTGTTGATGAAGAGAATTAATACTAACGTTATTGTCATGGAAAAAACAACTTTATATTCCCCATTCCATATGTGAAGGAGCAAAGGATGCTTCTTAAAAAACACACAAACAAAAAACCCTGTTGTTTTACCTTGAGTTTGTTCTTCTCTCTGTACATTTTTCCATCTATGGGAATCTATCAAGGTGAGTTTAGCTCTTGTTTCCTCAGAAGGGCAGGTTAGAAATAGAAAGAGCAGAGGGTGTATCTAGTATAAAAAGTGAGCTGAGCCATAGCTTGAAGAGATGACATGAAGGAAAAGAGTTGAAGTTGCTAATTTTGTTTTAAGCTATATTAATTGAGGCTGTTGATTGCGGAGGTTTTTAAAATCTCGTTCCCTGTTCTGTTCTAAGGCCGTATAATTCCTGCTAGCCGTTTTCTTCCTTTCTGTTTCTTTTATGGCACGTTCCTCTCCGGAGAACTGATCTAGCAATTGTGCCCGTCATTTATAAAGTGATCCCCACCCCCTACCCCAGGATAAGACTTGGGAGTGTAGCAGACAGTGTACGTATCCACCTGCCCCTCCTTTTTTTTTTTTTTCCTTTTTTTTTTTTTTTTTTTTTTGGACTGGTAGAAATGGCATGGTTCACCCTAATTCACTTTTTCAATGGGATAACAAACTGCTCCTAATTCTCATCCTGTGAAAAGCATGCTTGCATCCAAAGGAAAGAAAAGGCTGGTGGGCCCCTTAGCGGGCTTTTTGTATGATTGTTTTCCTTCCACAGCTGTGTTTTTGAACTGCTCTTCCTGTGTTCTGTTATAGAATAGTCTTACAGGAACCAATCATTAGCGCTAAAATACCTCAGGTAGGAGTGCCAGTGTGACCTGCCAATCAATCAGATTGTGGATTGCAGTGAAACAAATTGAATTATACTAACCATTCCAGCTCCACGTTAGAGATGGGAACAGAGGCTTTTTTGGACAATCAAGACTTGTGAGCGTGTGATCTAAGCCCTGCTACCTCAGCAGTGCACACAGTCAAGTTCCACACACGACGGCACTTCCTCCAAAATGAAGTGCCCCTGTCCCGTTGCCACGTGTCCACACCGGGCGTGTCAGATGCACTGTCCCATCACTGCCACCTCTTTTACTTTGTCAATCACATTGAACAGTGGTGTTTAACCTAGTCTTATGTTTGGAGATCATTAGCAGTTGAGGGGACATTTTTTCACTTCTGTGAAAGAAATGAGGAAAGGGAGGAAGCAGAATCTTTCCAGACGGGACTCCTGAATCCCACACTGGGCCCTGTAGTGACATCATAGTGATAATTGGACCGTGCTGTTAAACGAGGTTGAGGTTCCCTTAAAAAGCTGCACCTATAAGGACTCTGCAACGGAAACATGTATTTCCCTCCCTCTTTTCCTTTGACCGTCAAACAAGGTCAGTGAGCCCATTCAGGTCGTAATGCACTATTAGGTTTGCTGATAGCTGGATGCGAGAAAAGAGAAAAACAATAGATAGCTTTTCACAGTTGAGTTAGTTTATTTATATAGGTGCCCAGTGAGATCTTAGAAATGAACTGCTTTGGGGGAGATGTGGACAGTAGAGTGTTTGAAAGATTTAATTCATTAAAGATGATCCCTCATCTAGCATAGAATTAGTAGAGATACCAAGTTGAGTCGTAACAATTTCTTAATCTCAATTTTAAATAAAATAAAATTTAAATACTTACAACATTTTTTCATTACTGCTTTCAAAGTAGGTAGGTTTCCCAATCAGCAGTGCGATAGTATTTCATTACTATAAGTTTTAGTATTCACATCTGTGTTATTCACATTCAGTGAAAGGTACCATGTTGCCACATAAGAATTCTGTCCCCTAAAGAGAACAATCTAGAGCTACGGTTCTCAGCTGGAGCGGGGAGGAGGCG